ATATAAATTTGTTACACTTTTCACTTTCATTTATAAATTCTGTGCTAAGATCAACACTCACTAGAATATTTGTGTCAGCATGGCATAATGAAAATTTTTATCTCCGAGCCAAAGATTAGTAACGAGCCTTGGTTCGACTATGAGTTACTCCAGTTTCATGATTTGCCTAGGTTTTAGAATGATAATCAAATGAACGTATACAAGAAAGCAATTATCTGATTTAAGACGATGCAATGTGTAGAAAACATAAGAAAATGCGTTCCATAAATGAAATTTTTCAAAGTAAAATTCGGCATTATATTTTTGCCCGGATCAAAAATAGAATTTTTGAAAATGTTTTGTAAGCTCTTTGAAAATTCTGCTAAACTTATTTCAGAGTATCTGTAAACATCAGATCTGCGTTCCTTGTCACTTGAGAAATACGAAAATGGTCAATTCTTTGAATGCGAACGGTAAGAGATTTTGTTCTGAGATTTTGAACTCTAAAATCATACACCGATTACTTGAAATATTAAGAGACAACTAATAATCATCAGTAAGTATAGCCAATCTTAACTGCACAAATATTCATGGATTCATGTCATTAAATAATCAATAGCTCATATTTTTAAACACTATTCAAGGTCCAAGATCTCAAGATGCGAATTTCTATCATCCGTACTCAAAGCGTTCAAAACATAAGTAGAAGATTGTTGAGTTACGTTTGTTTAATCATGAGAAGCGCAAATCGCTACCTTGCTCATTGATGGGCATGTCCAATTACAATTTAGTTCAATATTAACTTAAAACTGAAAGTTGAGTCAATGAGTGAAAAATAAATAAAGAATATAACTAGTAGACGCACATGATACTAATCAGAAACCCGTGAATAATTTGTTTTTGGTCTCACTCTCTTTACAAGAGTGCTACATTTACATTAATTTATTTTGAAGCATTATTTTATTATTTGAGTCATCTATTGACATCATAGGCATTCAATATCATGTCTCTTTCTTTCTTCCTTACAAACATCTACTTATTTATTTTGTATTTTTTGACAGATATTTTCTCATGTACAATGAATCCAGTCACATAATGTTCTCAGGACTACTACTACTCAATTTTCTTTTAATAAAATGTGCAAATGGCCCAGGGAGAATTTACTGGATCGTTTATCAGCATTGAAGGGAATCCGAACATCACTGCTCTCACTTCAAATACATTGATATCTAGGGAGAGCTTCCTATATGAGTCAAAGATCGATCTAATTTTATCTGCATACCAGCGTCCTGTCAATACCACGTTCGAACAGATTCTAAAAGTGTTAAAAGGCTTTACGAACATCAACTCAACCAATAGATGCATTACTTTCGGATTCTTATTTGATGGGTGTGGTACACTGGAAATATAAATCGATCGGGTAACTAGAAATGGTGGTTGCGATGCATATTGTGGAAGTCAATGCTCACGAAGTATTATCACTGCATTAATGGCATTCACAAAAGATATTAATGATATAGCATGTGGTGAGGACATTTTGGATTTCCCACGTAGCCATCTAGAATATCAGAATATATCACATTCTCACATCAGAACCTTAATGATGGGGTTTTTCTTAATAAAAGTTCGTTTGGATTAGGAAATACATCATCTACTGATCCGTCGACAACATGCGGGTACTTTCAAAGCAGTCCGTCATGGAATAATTATTATTATGATGAAATTATCGAACCGTTGATCTTTCTTTGTTTTGTTGGGTGTCCGTATGCTGGTGGTGAAATCGATGCAGCTATTGCGTGTCTTTCCTTGTTCAATAAGACTGCTCAACCAAATGTTAGGAATATGGCTGCAAGATTTTCACGACCTGCATATTTCTTTTAATTGATGTCCTCTTTCTTTCATCTTCTTTTCTATTTTTACTTAGTTTAACCTTCATCCATCGGTCTAAAGCATATGAATTAATGGCGTCCACATGTATGTAGTACGAGAGCTGAACATCTTTCTTTTTGGATCATGGTAGAAAGTTCAGAACACTGTTATTGATTTTTCGTTTTCATAAATATTCGTTCCATTTTCTGTCTTCTTATTTTATAGTCTTCTTTGTTTTGTTCAATTTCAGCTCACATTTCATCGCCATTTAATCGTTTTATTTTCTTCATATAAATTCATTTATATTCTTGTATTTAAAAAGCACAAAATTAGAGATTCAATTGGAGTATGAAAGCATCAACGAGTGTATATATTTGAACTTCGGCGCTATAATATGATTTATTTTTTTGTTACTCAGAAAGATTCCGAACTTTGTTGTTTCTAGATAATAAATTGAGTTAGCACATTGAAGTACATTTCAAGAACATCTGTTTTATAGTTGGAATTTGTACTTAGTGCTATAGGGTTATCATCAACAATAATATGAATCCATTTGGTCGACATATAGTGGAAATATTCAACTTTTTCTTGGATAAAATAACTTTTCGGCTACTTTGTATCAGGTTAGAATATGTATATTAATGCGAATGAATTTACTGATCGGTCTGGCTACAATTAGATTCTGTTGACTACAAATAGATCTCGAACAGCTCTATCTATTAAATATAGAGTTGCTCAGATTTTTCAGTCATTCATTGCAAGACCAATGTATATTAGACCACCGAAACTTTTGGACAGCGAGGAAATAATGAAAAATATCAGGAGGAAATTTTTCAAAAAAGAAACTATTTGATTAAAATATAGTTCAGCAATCACTACTACTTTTTATTAAGAAAGAAAGAAACGACATTTGCTTATAATTGCATTAAGGAAAATTTATATACATGATATGAAAAAAAGACAAACTACGTAAATGTATGTACTAAAAACTACTGAAAGGAACAATTCACTCATAGCTTAATCAATGCAATGATAGTCAACCAATGCAAATAAGACTATCTCAAAATATAAAAATATTTAAGACATTACAATCAACAATGAATAATATTTTGATCAATTGAAACAAGAACATCGAAAGACGAGGTTATGCCGAGAGGTTAAAATAATTTTGCTGAAAAAGTAGCTATCTAATGTAATTGTTGTCAAAATTCGGGTATAAAGAATGTGTTTCAACCGGTTTCGTTCAATAGTGAGTTACAACATATAGACATTATGCATAGAAATGTAGCTTATCGAAGGTGACTTTCTTTCTCTATCAACGAATCCATAAATGAATAGTTTTCCGGAACGAACTATTTCTGATATTGCATATGATGCTGATTGATGTTCGTTCAATCAATTACTTAGCTCATCTACGTCTGAGAATACGTGAGCGCATAACCTTACGTACTTCCGTTGCCATTGGATAGGCATCACCAAGGCTGAAAGTTGTAGCTTGCCCTTGTGAACAGGGTGTAGGTGTCAGTATCTTCTGTTCATTTTCATCCACATCCATACACTCACATCTTCAAATACACCAATGTGAACTGTTTGCTGACAAAGCGATTCAAGATGAAAAGAAAACATCAAACGATCATATTTTCATAGGAACCTTAAAAAATATATTGTTTTGTGCTTCATACGCGATCCGTGTTCATCGGAAAAATTTCATCGATGATTTAACTGCTACGAAGTTCATCTTCGAATGAACATCTAATTGTAATTGTGCAAAGTAGAATCAATCTTGATTCATGCGAATTTTTATCAAACTCAGTTCTTTTGTGATGACTGGAAGAAAATGAATTCACTCTAAGAGTGGCAATACGATGTGACACATATATACGATTCTCTCTCTTCTTACGAATCGAATTGCGAAGCAAATAAACATTTTCATCGATCAGAACAGCATTTGAGTCTTTGCATGCTTTCTTTTTCTTTCTATTCCGATCGTTAATAATTCAAACTCATGCATGAATAATGTCGTTCGGTGGGTGCAATAACGAAATCGCAGTTTCATTTTAGTTTAACGCATCGAATACTGTTAAGTTTTTGCCACATTTTTGTTGATTTGTTTTCAAACACAGCATCGAATAATAAAGAATCCGAACTATCATTATCAATCGAAGTATATTGGGGAAAATATTTGGATAGATTGTAATCCACTCGATTTTAGGTCGAACATCCTAATTGAAATGGCAACAGCGAATGTGAAACAAGGACAACATATAATGTTCTCATACGGCTGGGATATACAAAAGGATGTATTGGAAATTTATCATCGTCTTCAAGCGAATAATATTCCGATATGGATGGATATACAAGGTGACATGAAAGATTATTTGACGGTTAGGTAAATTGATATTCTCTAGGCTTTCATTGTAGTTAAGATAAAACGAATGACAGGGATTCATCCCGTTTCTTTTCCATTTAGTATGTCTGAAGCTATCGAAAATGCAGCTGCTATCTGCTGTTTTATTACATCGAAATATCAAAGTTCACCGTATTGTAAGAAGGAATTACTCTATGCGCAAGATTGTCAAAAACCACTAATACCATGTCTCATGGATGCGGATTCTACTTGGAGACCGGCAGAATGGCTTGGCTACGCCATTATTGATATTATGTATATTGATTTTCGTGATCTATTGACGAATAAAACACCGGAGAATTTCGATGCGAAATGTGAATTATTAATCAAACGTATTAAAAGAACAGTCGATCCCTGTGTCTTGGGTTTGTTTTCGACATGAATTAGCTAATGAATAACTACTTGACGGAATTTGTTTATCATAGGTGAAATAAAACATCAACCACAACCACAGCAACAACAGCAAAACCAGGTGAATCTTGGAGGATTTCAAATGTATTCGAGGTCATCTCCATCATCAAGATCTTCTCCAATACTGCCAATAGTGTGCGACAGAGATGATCAGATTGCAACTAATGATTACGAAGAAAATAGTACTTCAAGTTTCGATAAATACCTTCCACATCCTCTGCACTTTACTTGAGAGAATCATTAATTCTTCTTTTTCAATTATACCATCAACAAAAGTTTCTACAATGGCTTTTCTTATCAATAAAACATTACCACTCGTTAGACTTCAACTGATTTTGGTGAAAACTAGAATCAAAATATCTCAACATCGAACTAAATAAATATGATTAACAAAGACTGGCAAGTGAATCGATCACAGGAGAGTCATTCTGATGATCATGAAGTCTTCAAAAGTTCGTTAGTTCTAGCTGAGTATTTTCTCTGGAATCTTATGATATAATGCTTGAATTGCTCTCAGAGTCCTATTTTGAGATTTTAGTTGATTGACCTAAAACTGTGCTGCTTGAGAGAGAGCCCGCAACATCACCCATCAACTCAGACACCGTTAAAATTTGGATTTCCGATCCAGATATCTCAAATGAATGATCCAGTAAAACCATGACCCAAATCCAACAGATTACCTCTTCTTTTGATTTGTCTACGAAAAACGCCGAAGTATACAAGTCATATGCTCTTCGAAACTTAGTCTAAAAATGGTTTTTTTTAGGGTTCTCTTACTATTTTTCACTTTTCTCTGCGTTCGCGGATTCGTTCACGTTTGAGGATGTTCAAAATATGCAGAAATGTTTTCCCTACAAAATTCGATTTATTCATTAACTTCTAACATATCATTCACGAATTAATGATATCAGTATACGGGCTAAAATGAAGGTCTTTTTAGTATTTTAGCTTTAGCCACACTGGTTTATGGACGTAGTTTGTTTGTTTTTCTATATCTACAATTACTACTCGTCTTTCTTAGTATTTTCTGCTAGAAAGTTTGTCGTTTGAACAGGTTATTATAATTCGCGTCAGTGAATTCGACATTACTTGGAAAAGCACAATTTAGCTCAATTAAGTTGATTGAGATAGTTCAAGTAAGAACCGAAAGTAAACGAATCTTGCGACTATCATGTGAATTTATATTTGATAGAATCGAGTATCAACGATTGAGGAAAGCTTTGCCGAAGAAAGGCCATTACATGACTAAGTATTTCACTATCCGTCAGACGTTCTAGCTCATGAGAATAATTTTCGATCACAAAAACAATAAGAATATTAGCGGGTGGAGATAGATAAAGTGTTTCAAAAGAACGACTTCATTGTTATGTACATGTATGTAACACAGTTGTCTTTGTAGAGCCCCAGAAACACTCAGAAAATTGCAAAATAGGTTTGTTCATTAGGTCGAATCTCGTCTGAGCAATAGTTTGGCGTTTTCATTCGGGTAAGGAAGGTTCGGATATGATTGTCTCTTTCTTTAGATAACCCAAGGGTATAGTTACAAGAATACGAAGACAAGAAATGGGAGAACTGTTTGCTGATGTTTTAGCAGCAATGAGGTCCGGATCATAAGCATCGGTGTGTGTTACAAGAGTATTCAGTCGAATGGGTAATCGATACTGATTAACATTTATATTTCAGCGAGAAAATCGTTCACAATGCCTTTAATTTGTCCGTGAGGCTTGAGAATTTGTAAACCCTTTCTAAACGGTTTTATTTCCGATTTCTTTCGACATATTCGAATTGCATGAGTTTAAGTCGAAAATGGCCTATATTTGTTATTGGTTTCTACCACATACAAAGATCATATCGAGACATGTCATGAATAATAATCGTTTTGGCATTATAATTTTGATTTATTCCTTCATTTAATATTTTTAAAAATAAATTATTTTAATCTCTCTGACAATATGTCATAAGTTTATAAGAGTCAGAATTTTGTGAGCTTCACACTTTGACCTCTGAGAAGAAGCGCACTAGCAATTTGTTTTGCGCTATTTCGTTCCGTCCATACGACTTCAATAGCCCTAATGTGCTCTTGGTCAGTACGATAGAACGTAAAAAAAGAAACCGACAGAGAATGGAGTAGGTTTTTCTGGACGATCTCTTGCCATTCAGCTAGAGCTGAGAAAAAGAGATAGTAAAAGTGAAATGTGAATGTTTCTCTTTCGTCGTCCATCGTGTGAGTTCACAACCGTTGGCCGTAAGATCCGACAGCGAATACAATCAATGCAGTACGATTTCAGTTTACCACTTTTGATTTCACCAAGTAGATAAATTGAATAAATATGCTCACATTTTATTTAATATAGTGATATCTTATAAGGCAACAAGATATTTTGTATGATTTCGTCTGATCTTACAAAATCAGAGATAAGATCTTCTTAAGTTTTACTATCTGATTGTTCCACTAGAATTTTTCTCAGCATTGAGAAATACAGTCATCCATGTATTAACAGGATGAATCATATTTGCATGATTTGAATATGAATTTTTATGTATATTCAGTGATTGAAACAAGTTGACGAAAATGTCAATAAACTGTATTAGTTAATGTAAAAGCATCCATATAGGTTGATGCAGTGACGCACCAGATAAATAGTAATAAAATGCAGAAAAGAGAGAGAGAGAGAGAAACACATGTGCGCATATATGCATGCATTTGTGTGATTTACCTGTGTAAAAAAACCAGCCGAGCAGTATTTGGCGATCAATTGGAAGCATTTTGACAAACGACGACAATCTCAACATGACTGCCTCATCTTCTCCTGAACGTCTCAAGGGTATTCTTGCAGTAACTGTACTTAAAGCAAACAATTTAAAGAAAAGTGATTGGTTTGGCGAAAACGATTGCTATGTCTTGATCTCATTCGAACCACTTTCAACAGAAGCAAAAGTAAAGACCGAGAATAGAAAACAACAAACAGAAACATATCAAAAGACACAGATTCATGATGGTTTAAATCCAGTTTTTAATGAGAAACTTATATTTCCTGTGGCAGACGAATTACAGACAATGTACGTTCAAGTGTGGGACTCTGATTATGATAAAGATGATCTTTTGGCTCATGGAACATTGAATTTACTTGACGATGAGCAAGGTGGTCGATTCAATACGAATACAGACAAAGAATGGTTGCATACGGTAACCTTATCAATGCTCAATGAAAAAGGTAACTCTGGTGGTACATTAGAAGTTGTACTTCATTTCATTCCTGAAACAGTCATGGCCTATATGGATAAGAAATTCGATGCTGCTCAAGCAGAACTCAAGAAAAAACTAACACAGGCAATAGTAGAAAAAATGACTGATGTTGCCAGCGAAAAAATTCAAGGATATGTTGGAAATGGTATATAAAATTTACAAAATAATCAAAATTTTTTGACAAAACTTTGATATTGTTTAATGCATCGACATTTTCATTTTTTTCAAGAAGATAGATTCATCGTGGGTTTTTTCATCTATATCAAAGAAAATAAATGCTACTCCTCAAGAAAGACAACATATGTAAAATATCTATCTCAGCTGTAAGAGTTAGATTAGCCAGAATTCAGATGATAGTATGCATACTTTGCTATAATAATAAATGAATTGTAAAGAAAAGAAAAACACAAGCTGTTTCATTGTAGTTCAGTAAAGGGATGTAAGTTTGAGTACTGATGAACAAACGAGCAACACTTACACTCTTTTTGTTATAAGAAGAAGCGACTACATAATAAACAATGTAAAAATGAAAGAAGTAGAACGCAAAAAACGATAACGTTTAAGGCTGATATGGTGACATTGGTAATCAGTCAAATTAAGAAGATGAAGCTGCTTGATAGACAGTTTTGTACTGTTGCTTCTCCATTAGTTTCGAAGTTCAATATGAACTTCCATCATATGATATGGTATGATATGTCTTCAATGAAGCATTAAAGAGAGTTTTGTTTATATATATTCTTGGACAAACCTAGAAACTCGCAGAGTACGGGTACCGATACTTGCCTAAATAGATTAAACTTTCTTGTTTCTACGAAAAATGGATTCTCAATCAATTCTGACAATCGATCGAATGACCGGGACCTGCATTGATATTGTTGGTACCTATAGTTAAATCACTGATAGTGTCTGTTTTCGAACTTTGAGAAGATTTTGAAACATCGAACATACTTACTGTACTACATCTGTTCACTAAAAGAACTTAATCAATTTAGGTATTATCAGTTTCAAGTTCAATAGATAGAATATTATCATTGTCAGCCTAGACTAGAAGGTCACTTTCATTCATGTACGAAACAACAATCCAATATTAGCCATGATGGCTTGGACACAAATATCAACCTATATATGTGCGCCACATCGTCGTTAACACTGATATCTCTTCCAACGGCTTTGGCATTTGTTTTCCCGACGATTTTCTGGACATCAGCATTAGACTAGGCAAATTCAGGTGTGATCAAATGAGATCTTACTTTGTATGGCCACATGAACGCATAAACATACATGACTAGCCTCATGTTGAGAAATGTTCAAATCTTTTATGATTTAGAACACTATAAAGACAAAGGTAAATCTTCTGGAATATTGACCACTGATGGCGACCATAAAGAACAATCATCAAAAATAAAACATCATTCGTTTCAATTTTTATTGAAATCAAATTGTTGACAACATAGTTACCATTGCGCAGCTTCAAAACTGGAGATATATATACTATCAAAATAAACGACACACACCAAAATTGTTTCATTTCCGAGAGCTTTTTCATTGTCAACTCATTTTCATAATAAGAACAACCGTATGGAACAAAGTTTGTGAGCACGAATTGGGTGCATAGAATTCAATCAGCTATCAAACTTTTAGCTCAAACTGAAGGACGATGTTTAGCCGCTAGTACTCAATATCTTTTGTCCGATACAGTATGCTACTTTAAGCAAGCCAAAAAT